GCCATTGGTCTCATACATGCATTTCAACACCGGACACAAATTAAAGTGACTGGGAAACGGATGATCAACATGGACGTCATCATGGCGAAGTTCATCACATATATGGCTTCAGACATTCATCTTATCTGACCATGGCCACACAATGACTCCGTTTAGCTACACTGAAGAAGAAAGGAGAGAATTATTCGATCCACTGTTCTTCATGACCATTCCTGATGGCGTCAAGGACAAACTGGGGGCAAGAAGGACGAGTGCCTTGATAACGAACCAAAAGCGCCTCTTTATGCTCTATGACGTTCAGGAAGCATTCATGAGTTTGAACGATCCTCAGAAAATGAACTCCAACGATTATTCAGTGACAGGAATATTTTCAGAAATCCCTGTAAACCGCACACGCGCCGACTTCTACATGCTTCCCTTGACTAGATGCAAGTGTGAGGGTTTTGACGCAGAGATTCCTGTAAATGACAATGCAAATGATCACATGGGGTTGGCCGAATTGATGTTGGGTATATAAATGATGCTATCCGAAAAAAATATATGAGCGGTGAGACGGCCTCCATATGCTGTTTGTTGATATATTTTGTTGCTATGTTTAAATCATTGGACAATGAAGGAGATTTGGAAATCCACAATCACGAATTTTCATCCACAATCCATTAGCACACGATGTGATCATATCAGTTAAAGGTTTTAAGATGAGACGGGTCGGGGTGGGATGAGGTGAATTGTGATGGGTGGGGTGGGTGGAGAGAAGTGGGACTGCATAAGGTGGTTTGAGCAAGGCCAGTGGGGTGTGTAGAGGTGCGATTGGTGGAGTGGGGTGGGGTGTGTGAAATGAGGGCGACTTAGTGCGATGGGTGGAGAGGGATGAGAGAGTTCAGGCAACACGAGGGAAATTCGAGAGGAAGAGTGCAGTGGAACGAAAAGTTGTGAGATAAAAAGGCATAAAAACGTGCCTTAATTTATATTGATTCTTAAATTTATTTTTTTCCTTTTCAGGAAACTGTAACACACACAAAACGTGGCTATGGAAACTGCAAACGCTTGGTTGGAAAATCATTTGAAAAGATTGTCAAGCGATTTCAAGGGGAATACATTTTGACGAGGGTAAACACTATTTTTGTCTCACCAACTAAAGCATTCCGATATCACTTTGATTGAAAAATGTCAAAACAGATCAAGGATGTCAGTTTTCTTATCATGGCGTCCAACTCTGCACACAAAGGCACACGCAACCTTAAGCAAACCCTAACCCTGACCCTAACCTGCAACTTCTCATGTACTACAATGTTCAAAGAGCCGTTCAAGTTAAGCTCTTATTAAAAAGTAAGCGCGAGAAAAGAGAGCTCGATAATTGACACTTAATGCACGTTATAATACTTCTTAATACTATAAAAACATTCAGGCTGACCGACGCATGCAAACTGTGGTTGGTAGAATTCAATCTCATTGCTATTTCAGTTAACGCTTTCATGAATGACAACGAATAAATGTAATATCGGCAGGGAAAAAAGAGGACAAACATACCGAAATTATGCTAGCTATGCTATCCTGCAGCCGATCCTTTGACAAGCTTTGCTCTCCTTTCAAAATGGATTTAAGATGAAAATTCGTGATTGTGGATTTCCAAATCTCCTTCATTGCAAAGTGATTTAAACATAGCAACAAAATATATCAACAAACAGAGGCAGTCTCACCACTCATGTATTGTTTTTGTATAGCATCATTTATGTACCCAACAGCGAATTCGGCCAGCCCCATGTGACCATTTGCACTGTCATTTACAGGAATCTCTGCGTCAAAACCCTCACACTTCCATCTAGTCAAGGGAAGCATGTAGAAGTCGGCACATGTGCGGTTTACAGGGATCTCTGAAAATATTTCCGTTATTGTATAACCATTGGAGTTCATTTCTGAGGATCGTTCAAACTCATGAATGCTTTGTGAACGTCATAGAGCATAAAGAGGCACTTTTTATCAGCTAAATGCAACTAAACTTTAATCATGTCATTACATTATCGTATGGTTTTCTAAATAATTTAATGATAAGTTTTAAATAATACTGTCAATCAACTACCAGCCCCATACCGATTATGAAAAATGTTACTAATAAAACATATTTAAAACGAACGGATGATCAACATGAACACTATCATGGCGAAATTCATCACAGGTTTTTAAGTGAATGTCAAAAGAAATGCGGGATATTATTGTTTTTGCTTCACTGTGGTCTCCAATTGGTCCAGATGATTCTTGTCTCTCTCTCAACCGATCAAATGCCAAACCTAAACCAATCGCGACTTAGTCAACTGCGTTTTCCCGCGCTTCAGCCGGTTGCTTGCTTTTTTTTTTTTTGCTCTGAAATCTCATTGGCTCTATAATATTTCTTTGTGCTCTGATTGACGTTGTAGTTACTCAGTTTGGTTTTGGATTTACAATATTCAATCGAGAAGCGCTCCAAGAGTTGAAACTCTCTTTACTCGTTATGCCATTCACTATTGCGAAGAACATGTTCCACCAGATCATTGGGAAGGATTTGCAGTTTCAGCCTCCACTGCCCTAGGATATACTAGGAGTAAGTATTTAGAAGCCCCAGTGATGTCGTACCCAGATGTAAGATGTATTTATTAGAAACACTTTATCACTCGCTAGATGACGACGAGGTTAGTGCCTCCGCGAAGAATACACGGGCTCCCCTAGGCGTAGAGGTGTTATATGGGGCCTTTAAAAAGTGGGGCTACCAGACGCTACCAGACGCTACCAGACGCTACCAGACGTTCAAGAAGACCTTTGTTGGTACAATATTTGGGGGATTGGTTTATCTGATCTTGACCAAAGAAAGGTAAGTAGTGCACAGCATTATGGTTTTTCTGAATAATGTGAAATGGGTTGAGACTCTTTGGTCGAGTTAGTTTTATCAATTATAGCAGAGCTCGCAGCGCGCAACGAAGCCCCATACCTATAAAAATGGTAGTGATACTAATAACCATAAAGCCTAGAAAATTTGAGATATTACGTGACCATTGAACCGAACGTCCGTACAAGGTGTCACTTTAAGGATGCGTGAATAACTGCAATGCGGGCATTCATCTCGGCATTACGTATTTAGAAGGGGGAAAGGAGGAGGTAGTTCGCATGTACGCTGCGTGTGTAACAAGGAATCGTATGTGCTTGCACGTTAACGATGTACAACCTGGTGATTGCAATGTCCCAATGCAGCGTACCGTGGGCACAAGGTTGGTCATAACGCTAGGCATAACCACGACTTTGCTGAGTGATTCCAAGCTAGGCCAGCGTATGTAGCAACAGGAAAACGGCAAAAATGAATGCTGAGTTAAACTCCTTATTCCTTTAGCAATATAATCTTGCAATTGTTGATAAATATAACTCACTAAAATATTTGCACTTTAGCTTACACAAAACTGAAAGCAGAAGGCACTTAGGTAAATTTTTGTTGCTTTCCTTTAGCTGGGATTTTTTCTGCGTATCTCTGATATGGGTGTGCTTAACAGTTGTTTGACGCCAAATCCATTTGTTTAAATCAGCTGGTAATGCAAAGTAGAACAGAAAAGGTGCACATTTAACACAGTCACATGTAAGCTTTGTCGATACCGTCAAAACTGACATCTTTTGGATCAATATTGGGCCGAGTAGTTAGCGACTGTCTTTTTTTGACATTTCAAGAAAAGGTGGCTAAAAACTTGTCGATCATCGAGTATCACACATTTTCCTGCACCGCCTTAGACAGAATTGGCTTGACTAATCATCACGATTATCTGGGGAAAATTTGCATTTACAGTTGGTACTTCTTTGACTGCATAACAAAGGTTGATACCGCCTGAAAAATCAACATCCAAGCTAAGCCATTGGTCTCATACATGGATTTCAGCACTGGACACGAAATGACTAGGAAACGAATGATCAAATCCTATACAGGCCTGAATTTTTTTAGGCCTTATTTTCACTACTGCTTAAGTAGTTTTCATAACTGCAAAGATCGCTTCCATATTCATGTCCAAGTTATATTTTTCCTCTAAACAGTCATGCACGCAACTTCCCACGCGCGAGCACTCGTTCTAATCGGGTGCTTGATATGCAGGCTATCATATTCTTGAGCGAATAACACTCCGAAACGATACTCGTCAAAGAGAGAGTAGTTTTTCCATTTAAATGCTTATGTAAATGCATCTTTAGTGCTCTTTCCTCGCTTTGTTTGTATAAACAAAACACTAACCCCCTACAAAGATCGCTTCCATATTCATGTCCAAGTTATATTTTTCCTATAAACAGTCATGCACGCAACTTCCCACGCGCGAGCACCCGTTCTAATCGGGTGCTTGATATGCAGGCTATCATATTCTTAAGCGAATAATACTCCGAAACGATACTCGTCAAAGAGAGAGTAGTTTTTCCATGTAAATGCTTATATGAATGCATCTTTAGTGCCCTGTGCTCGCTTTGTTTGTATAAACAAATCACTAACCCTCCGCAAAGATCGCTTCGATATTCATGTCCAAGTTATATTTTTCCTATAAACAGTCATACACGCAACTTCCCACGCGCGAGCACCCGTTCCAATCGGGTGCTTGATGTGCAGGCTATCATATTCTTAAGCGAGTGACACTCCAAAACGATGCTCGTCAAAGAGAGCCGGAGAAGTTTTTCCATGTAAATGCTTATGTAAATGCATTTTTAGTGCCCTGTGCTAGCTTTGTGTGACAACAAAACACTAACCCTTCGAGAGCTACTATTTTCATGCAGCTGGCTAACGTACAGCCAACATTGAAAGAACACGGCCACCTCGTAACTGCCTTTTTTAGGGTGCACTCGAAAACCACATGTTGAAAACTGAAGGAACATTTTTGTGAAAGCTAGCACCATTTAGTCATAGTTGTATGATTGTGCTATGGGAAAATCGACACTCTTATAAGCAGTGACAAATAAAAAAGTGAGAAATGGCATTTGTTAAATTCAGGAGGGAGCAAAACTTTAAACACTTGCTGTCAGCAAATTTATTAGTCTAAGCAACCAAACCATTCTCCTCTATGAGCTGGTTGAAGATAACCTTTGCCATACCAGTTAGTTAACTCATAGTCTATGTCCTTCAGAGTAACAAATTGTTCATTGTTAATCACAGCAAGAGCAGATCCGTTCAACCAAACTGAAGGGGAAATATAAAAGTCGACATAACGACGTTCTCTCCAGCCTGATGAGACAGGCAGCATATCCTGTATGGCTTCCTCGATATCACTGCTAAATAATAAATTATTACCTTCTAAATCATCAGGGCCATCGAAAAAGGGAGTTGTGTCAACCTCTATATAAGGTGCCATCAGCATATGGCCCCTTGGCATACCCATATAAGATATCCCTAAATAATAATGGCTGCCCTTTGTCCTTAAAAGTTCTGCAATAGATGAATAGGTCGAAGAATTACCGTAGTCAGCCTTCGTAAGCGCGATATCAACATCACACGTCCAAGGTATAACAGTCTGACTTCTAACTGCACCTAACAGAGTACCATAAATAACCCGATAATCTACACCAAGTTGGGTCAGTGCCCATGTTATATCTTTCAGCATTTGAAATAAGACGATCCCGCAACAAATCGGTGCTGCCACGCTGGACAGCTCTGTTGGCTTTACATAGGGTTTCTCCGGGCATAATTTCCAGTTTGACACACACGTTGTCCATTCAATTCGATTGTTTGTGACGATGCGAAGAATATTGAATTTATTTCCAAAAGCGGCGTACTCCGTGACATCGTTTGAACCCTCTAATGTTCCACGATCCACGCGCGCTATCTCGTGTGTCCACCTGCAATTTGAAAGTTTTGCTATCTTCAGCTCGCCTTTCGATCGAACAAAAAATTCTAGCAAAGCCATTCTACCAAATCCGTTATGCAATCCTCCGATGCGATGAAACACGTCACCTCTCATTACGAAAGGACCTTGTGCAATATTACAAACTTGGTACACAATCAGTATGCCGTTCGCGAAGTCTGAAAACGAAAATTTGTTTGGAGAGTATCCATTTGTTGACGTTTTACTTTCGAGACGTGTATTTAGCACCGGGCCTGTATTCTTTATATGAAGGCTCCAT